AAAATGAACGAACGGCTCTCTAAAAAAAGGAGAAAAAAATCTAAGAAAATCTAACTAATGAATCTAAAGGAAATCTAAAAACGAATGAAAAAAAAAAAAAAAACTTTCCGACCTAAAAACGGCTGCCCGTTTTCGACAGGCACCTAGGGCCTCGCTGCACTACTCTTGAAATGTGCAAAACGAGAGTGAATCTTCGGCTAGAATATGGACAGATATGCGGACGATCCTTCGTCTTGGCCGGTGCCTCCGCCTGTTCGAGGGCGGTCTGTTCCACAATTTGCTGCACCGATCGCAACAACAGATGACGAAGCTGCAGTGAAGGGTGATGATGGCACCGGTGGAGGGGAGGCCTGTGCTGTGCTGGCGAAGACACAAACCACAATAAAAAAAGAGGATTGACAACGACGCACAAAAGAACTTGGACATTGCGTGGGCGGAAGCAATGTTCAGGGCTGGAATTGCTTTCCACTTCTTGAACTTCGACACCACGCAAGCTCTTCACGAGGCTTGCTTGGGGGTTGCCAATGCAAAGCCAAAGGTGAAGTTGCCTACCTACAAGCATATGCGGACTGTCATGTTGGACTACATCTTCTTGAAGGTCCAAAAGTCAATCAACCCCTTGACTGCTTGTTGGGACAAAACCGGCTGCACATTCATCACAGACGGATCGACAGATCTTAAGAAGCGGTCGGTCATGAATTTCCTAGCAGCGGGGGAGAAAGGAGCAGCTCTGGTGACCACGGCTTACATGACTGGGAGGAAGAAAAACGCAGCAGCATTGGTGAAGTTGTGGGAACAGGTGATGCGGGAGATCGGGCTCAAACAGATCAACGCGATCTGCACAGACAACGCTGAGGCGAACAAGAAGGCGGCGCAGATCTTGGAGAGGCGGACGGATAGAGACGTTGCAAGGATACTATGGATGCCATGTGGAGCGCATTGCTGCAGTCTGTTGTTGAAGGACCTCAGCAGTTTGCCTTGGGTGAAGGACAAAGTGAAGACGGCGAACACGATCGTGAAGTTCATCAGGAACCATCACGCCACGCACGGTCTCATGATGTCCATCGATGACTCGTTGTCATTGCCGCGCCCGACAGAGGTCCGGTTCGGGTCGGTCTACCAGATGCTGTAGAGGCTGGCGGACAGGGAGGAAGTGTTGAATGAGATGGTGGACGGAGGTTGTGCAGCGAAGTGGCGGACATTGAGATGGTCGGGAGAGAAGCTGCAGAAAAAGCCGACCTTGTCTACTACACTGTGAGGTCAGAGAGTTGGTGGGCCATAGTCAGGAAGATTGTGGCAATTATGGAGCCGGTGTATAGCCTCCTGAAGAGGATGGACAGGGAAGGAGTTTCTCCCACCAACCTCGTGGAGTTCAACGATCTCATTGCGAGGAAATTAGCAAACGTCGTACTCACGAAGAAGGATGATGGACAAGGTCAAGGACCGCGTGCAGATGATGCGGCAGCCCGTTCATGCAGTTGCGTTTTTGTTGGATCCACGGAGGAGAGACCCAGGCTGGCTCAACGATCCGGACAGCGCCCTCGTGCAAAACGCAATGCGCTTCTTCTGCAGGCAGATCGGAGCGGAGTGGGATTCGAAGCCGCACATGGACATGTGGGATCATCTGTACGAGTTTTTGAGAGAGCCTGTGGAAGGGGAAGTCGGGACAGATGAACACATGTCGACACCAATTGCCATCAAGCAAGCAACGCGGCGTACGTCTGCGGACTGGTGGACCTTGTACGGTGGGGATGTTCCACATTTGCAGCAGATCGCCATCGAAGTGTTGGGAATGTGGAGCACGACGACACCCACGGAGCGGAACTGGGCATCGATGGACTTTGTCCATTCGAAGCGCAGAAACAGTCTCTCACCAGAGTCCTTGGAGAAGCGCAGAAACAGTCTCTCACCAGAGTCCTTGGAGAAGCTGGTTTACATTCACTGGAACATGCAGTTGCCGCGTGTTCCAAATAGCAAGGACAATGGCTACGTCGATGTGTGGGGATCCTTCTTTGAGTCGTTGATGGAGCCGGCAGCGGAAGATGGAGCTGCCGAGGACGCCACGGAGGATGAGACAGCGGACAATATGGAGGAGGAAAAGAGGCAAAAACGACTGAAGAAGACTCCAAAAGACCGGATCCCAAAGAGACTGCTGGATGACGACTCAAGTGGGAGCAGCGATCTTGAGGATCTCGTGTGGAAGGGGAAGTGTTGGAACGAGTCCACTTCCGAGGAGAGTGCCGGTGAAGATGATATTGGGGAGGACTCAGATTTCGAGTTGGGGGGCAAGCCGGCGGTGCCAGCCACTACGTACGTCGGTCGGAGGCTTAGGAGGGGAGAGAAGGAGGCAGAGGTGCTGCCTTCCGAGGCCATCGACAGACTGGACACTGATATCGAGTTCTTGGCGCACCCTACGCCTGATGCAGACGAGGAGGAAGCAGCTCGGGCCAAGGCTATGGCAGATAGGGATGCCGCTTTGGTTCAGAGGCGGATGTGTGAGGAGGAAGCTCGCCGTGCTGCTGTCCCCACCCGGAGGGAGAGAGAGAGACAGCAAACAGGTCAGCCAACATGAGGAGAAGCATAGTGATGAAAAGGATGGAAGGGTGGACAATATGGAGGTATATGAGGCTGCAGTGCGTGCAGAACATGAAGGGAGTGTGCAGCATGCGGGAGTGGATATTGAAGCACCCTACGCCTGATGCAGACGAGGAGGAAGCAGCTCAGGCCAAGGCTATGGCAGATAGGGATGCCGCTTTGGTTCAGAGGTGGATGTGTGAGGAGGAAGCTCGCCGTGCTGCTGTCCCCACCCGGAGGGAGAGAGAGAGACAGCAAACAGGTCAGCCAACATGAGGAGAAGCCTAGTGATGAAAAGGATGGAAGGGTGGACAATATGGAGGTATATGAGGCTGCAGTGCGTGCAGAACATGAAGGGAGTTTGCAGCATGCGGGAGTGGATATTGAAGCACTTGGAGAAAAAAATGTACAGCAAGAAGGAGAAAAAAGTTTGCCGCGAGAGGGGGGTGATATGGAGGATGCGGAAAAAACTCAGCAGCAAGACGGAGAGGAACTGCAGCAACCAGCACCACCAACGGTTTACGCACGAAGACCCCGCCCACCGGCACTGCAGCAGCCTGCACCGCAAGAGCCGCAGGAGGACCAGCAGGCTGTGGCTGCGGAGCAGCCAGAAAAACTCGGAGCAACGGTGAGAGGAGCAGCGGTCCACTCTGGCAGACCCCCATATCCAGCACAGGATGAGGATGCCCAACACGGGCCGAAAGAGGAAGGCTCCGGTGAATGAAGTCCCCACACCACGTCCCCGCCGCGGGAGGCCCCGCAAGGAGAAAACGGGGCACAAAGCTGCACCAAAGTTGGAACGTGGCCGTGGCAGGCCCCGCAAAGTGCAAGTCTCGGAGGATGACCCCGACTCAGATGGTTGCGGTGCAGAGTCGCCCGACGACGAGATTAGCGAAGGGGATTCCAAATGAGAGAGAGAGAGAGAGAGAGAGAGAGAGAGAGAGAGAGAGAGAGAGAGAGAGAGAGAGAGAGAGAGAGAGAGAGAGAG